AATTTTTACATAAACAAATAATGTACTTGTTTATGGTAGGTATTATAAATGTGATGGCCACAAAAAAAAGTATATAATAAAGTGATTTTCTATATAAAGAACAAGTAATGAGTATAGTAGTTGCGCCACAAATATCACATTTTACTTTAGAATCACTTTGGAAACAAAATTCAACTGGTGTTTGGAATTGTGCCCGTTTATTCTGTACATATCAGTTGTAATATAGCTGTAATAGTCTATATGTATGCTGTTATAAACTGTAATTGCTGTTTTGTCACTTTTCCAATATTCCACTTGGATTGTTTTTTATATTCAGTCGATGTTGCTGCTTCAACAAATGTACACACAACTTCTTTCAGTAGATATACCAGTAGATTTAGATTTGTATAATTAAAAATTTTATGCCAGCAATCAATTTTTGCTTTGATTGGTTGCGGCAAAAAAATTTTAAATTATCCAAATCTAAAATCAGACCTATCTCATATGTTGTTTCTAATCACACTAATAACAACTCTTTAAATATTCAACTTACGGTCGACAATGTCTCACAAAATATTCATTCTAATTCTGAAAGAATTGACATTAATCCAGAAAAATTTAATAAGACCTCCCCTAGATACGCTACATGACAAATGGTTCGTTAATTTGAGCGGCAGTGACATTCCCTTACAAGTTCGGTATTTATTACTTGAAAAATTTGGGCTTCCTATCAATAAAGATAACACGGACAAAACTTTGATTGAATTTATCAAACACATTGAAAATAATATTAGTGGTCGTCCCAAGAATATCATCAACTTTGTCAGAAATAATTCTTTCCCAATACTTAACAGATTCCATAACGATTTCCCTTCTCCTACTTTTACTAACAAACAGATTTTGGAGTGGCTACATGTTACAAAAGATTTATTAATGATCATCTTAATACACTTATCACAAACGCTGACAAGAGAAGTGTTACTGTTGCTCTTGACAAGGATCTACTCTTGACGCCTATGTATCGAAAATAGAGGAGATTCTTTCAGACATTAACATTTATGTAATCATTAATAAAGATCCGAGTAGGAAATTGACTCAAGACTTACCTATATTGTTGGTGAGATGGAAGCGTGATCGGTTTATTGATCAGCAAACATATCGGAGATTGCTTACAACTGATGATGTTATACCTAGAGCTTACGGTTTGACCAAAATACATAAAGACATAATCCAGTGATCCAGACGTAATTGAGAGTGATTGTGTCCTCTGTTAACAGCTCAATATATTATCTTTCTCTTTTTTTACATAATACATGATATAATTAATGATAGCATACCAAAAGCTCCTAGTCACATTAAAGAGTCAGTTTTATTTGATTGAGCATTTAAATGATACTGTTTTAAATGGTACTGTCTCTGAATATGTTTTGGCTTCGTTAGATATAGTATTAGGTGTACAAAAAAGTCTGAGCTTTAGATTTGATACAACCGAAATAACAATTTAAATTTTATATATCTTCCCGCCCTTTTGCGGTTTTAAAGCGTTAACATTTGGCCTTCTAAAATGCCATACGGTTTGGCGTTTGATGCACATAACCTCAAAAATCAGTAGTGTTCACGATGGCAATAACAAAAGAGCATATTCGATTTTCCATCCACTTCGCGTTTCATCTGAAGAAAAATGCTGCTGAAGCCACTGCAATGATTTGTGCTGCATATGGAGAGAACGCTGTAAGTCATGCTACATGTAAAAGACGGTATCAAAAGTTTCGCCAAGGAGATTTCAGTCTTAAAGATGAATCGCGTGCTGGACGCCCTGAAAAGATTGAAACGGACGAATTGCAAGCACTGCTGGATATAAACTCTGCGCAAACTGAAAAGGAGCTTGCAGAACAGCTTGGCGTTACGCAGCAAGCCA